GCTGCAAACTTCTCTCAGGGGACAAGCACACCCCCGTCTCCCAATACGAGCAAATACGACCGTGAAACATGAAAAATCAACTATCAAAAAATGTTTTCCGGACCAAATACCACCCCTACCCTTTTGGGGGAATCCCCAAAGATGATGTGCCCTATGCTTGACCCTTTCAACTACGCACTTTTTGCTGTTGCAATTTCAATAAGAATTGACCTGATTCACTTTAGTGGGTTGTCAATATCAATCAACAGTACTTGTTCCTACTCTTTTCTAGAACGGATCGGATTCTCCTCCGGATATTTGTGTGGAAATGAATGGCGATGTTATCTCAGTGACAGCTGTTCAAGAACGGCCAACGCTTCTTTCTACAGCGGTGAATCAGATGATATGAAAGGGAACCTGTGTTCCCATTATATTATATTTTCAACAAGGGACGTAACATAATGTGCCGACCTCACATTTTAGGGTAACGGAGAATTCGGTGTACCATCAATCAACGTCATTCCACATACGCCGATTGATCGGCAAGTATTCAACGTAAGTTGGAGGGAATTCTGTTCTTGAAGATATCGCAAATGAAATTATAAAGTCTTCTAGCAATGGAGATTTCTGAATATCAGTAGGCTGGGTTCATACCCTGCGGCATCAACCAATAGCGTTCCGAGCGTCCGGCAGCGTCAGCGACTAGGAAAGTATAGATATCGATCTAGCGTCTGCCAGCGTCTGCCAGCGTCTACCAGCGTCCACCAGCGTCTCGAGGGCTAGGGAAGTATAGGTATCGATCTAGCGTCTGCCAGCGTGCACCAGCATCCGGGAGAGGAGAAGGTCTGGTAGAGCATGGCGCGATAGGGGTAGCAGACTGCTGGTAGAGAGGATATCGTGAGTCTGCTGCCTACCTCCTATCGCGCCATACTCTCTTCTCTCAGACGCTGGTAGACGCTGGTGCACGTGTGAGACGCGGGATCAATACCTACACTTCAAGGCCCTTGGACCGCTGATAGACGCTGCTGAACGCTGGGAGGCGCTGGTGCACGCTGGCAGACGCAAGATTGATATCTATACTTTCCCAGTCGCTAACGCTGTCGGAAGACTAGTGGGCACTGCCGCAAAGTATGAACACTGCCTGAGCATAAGAATGAAAGCATTGCTGAAACTGCCTTCCAAGGTGCCGTCGCATGAAGATGATTATCCTAATTTCAAAATAAAAGTACCATGGTGCTAGACCTCTCGTGAAGATCATTTAGAACAGCTCTTCAGAGTGATATGCCCCAATCCCGATCACAATCGTCACTTTCAACATCAGGAGCCGACGAGGTATCCGGAAACGACGAGGAAGTTGTAAGCTCGTCCTATGACAGCAGTGATCATTCCGATGACGATCAGGGTGAGATATTTCAAAAGT